GGATCATCATTCAGTCTTTCGGGAGGAATTCCCAAATTCCTCCATCTGTGATGAAGGCTTTCTTTACAGGTCATGGACACAAGATGCCAGCAGGGCACTGTGGAGAAACCTGTGGATTTCTGCTTGGCTCTCTGTTGGTCAGTTTTCCAAGCAGAAATATTACATATAATGTACACATTATGTGGCATTTTAAAATGTGCTCTGCACTGGTCAAGGCTGTCCCTTACTGCCTTCAGGAACACTGAAGTTCACGTCAGCGGCAGTAGAGGTGAGCCAGGTCCAAACTGTTCCTAAAACCTCACCAGTAGACACCAGGAAAATTATTAAAATAGGAATAGGTATCACAGATGTGTTCATTTATAACAAGAATAGCATTATTATTTCATAACAAACAATTTGAAGTAATCTACAAAGAATGCAAAAGCCTAATACTTTACTCAGTAAAGATACTTAGGACTATAAAAGCAAAATTATGCTGCTTTGATGTTGCTAACTCCTGTCTATAACCATGACACAACCTAATTAGCTTAAGTTTTATCCAAATGCATTAAACTTTCCATGAAGCAACACAGCACCCAAGAACACAGCATGCAAGAGCCTGAATCTGCCTCACTGACACTGGGGGCAAAACTCCCACGGACTTCAAAAAAGCAGGACTAGGCATGGGCAGCTCTGATTTCCTGCTTTCCTCTCTATTGTCATTCCTAAGAGAAGGGATTTCTGTTTAAGTCTAGTGGTCTTTACACAGATTACTACCACTGTAGTTTTTAATTTGGATGAGTTTAACAGTACTAATGTTAATGTTGTTTCACATAGTAGAAGCAATTGAACACAGGAAATAGGCCAAAATTATGACAAACAAGTAGTGGAAGCTGGAGCAAGCATAATCTTATTTGAATGTTAAGTGGAGAAAAGGTTATAAACTAATTTGGGCCTGAATTCTCAAAATTTCTTGCAAAATAAAAGAAGAAAGGAGAAACAGGGGAGCTAAGCTGCTTAATAAAGACCAATTCCCCTACTGAGGCAGCCCTATGTAGTCATCTGACAAGACCTAGGATCAGTAGGACCCTTCTGAGACAAACAGCAGGAACAGTCATAGAAAGTTTTGACAAAGCTGCAGTCATAAAAGGCAAATAATTAATGAAAGAAACACACACATTTATAATTTATCTACATAAAATCCACAAATTGGCTTCATTTTCAAAGGTTTGTGCAAAATAATGAGGGACAAAGAAACAGCTATGTCCATAGCCCATTCTGAACTCCTGTGTACTTTATTTTGAACAGCTGCCCTCTCATTAAGAGATGGAAACAGTATGACTAGAGGAAAAAATTAAACACAGACACAAAGTCAAGTATAGCTGTGATAAAATTCTGTCTAGTAAAGTAGTTAATAATCTACCAAAGTATTAGCTTGATATACTACTGTCATCCAGAGATCTCACAGTATTAAAGGCATTGATAATAATCTGCACTTTTGGACTTGGCACTCTGTCTCTCATCACCACGTACGTAAACACATAATAAGCACAGTGTACTTTGGATTTCTGCAGCTCATAGAACACAGCAATGAAAGAATAACAATCCAGTTCCATATTTTTGTTTTGTTTTGCTCTTCTCAGAATGCAGTACAGTTTAAAATATTTATTTGGAAAACACCTATTTTTAACATGCCAAAAAAAGCCAGCTGCCTACCTCCCACTTCCAGCTTCTATTTCTTCTCTGAATGATTCCCTCTAATGATTCTTCCCCTTGCACTTGCAAGAAGACTAGGTGGGGAGACCGATAACAGTTTCTTGATAAGGTAGCAATGTGGTAAATAAGGGCTGAAGCAAAGCAAAATGCATCGAAAAGGCTGGGAAAGGTTGTTTTGTTGTTTGGGTTTTTTTTAACTGTATAAAATACTAATCCAAAAGGTAAGGAAAAAAGATGTGATCTGAATTATAAGAATACAAATTCATGTAAAGATAGTGAAAACTTCTCAAAAAGCAATTTAAAGAGATAGTGCCTTAGAAATAAGAAGGCTATGATCTTACAGAAAATTCAGAAAAGAGACATAAGGTTTAGTGAGTTAGACTAATGCATTCACTTCTGTACTTACAGGTTAAGTCTGAAATTCTAACTGTGGAGTGAAATTCTGTTCAGATGAACATGAAGGTTAATTGAATAAGTACTACTTAAAAACTAAGGGGAATAGTGGAATGTCTAAAACTGTAACAGACTTATTCTTGACTATCCAAAATGGACAAATAAGAAAATCTTTGGACAACTATTCACAGGAATAATTTATAGGAATATTTAATCAATAGAAACAGTATGAAATCACACTGTGAGCAAGTTACATGCAAGAACTCAGCCATAACATTCCAGTGGATCACCTGAGTAGTGAGAAATTAACATTGCTTCCATCAGGGATTAAAAACTTCCAACCAGTAACCTGCTAATTTTTTATACCCCAAAATGTTACTCTGGTGTCTTGTAAGATTTCCTTAGAATCCTACCCAGGATAAATCCAAGAAAGTGGAAAACCTGACAAAGTATCTTGAAAGCAATGATCTGGAAGTAGTAGGAAAAAAAGGTTGCTTTCTGGATCTTCAGAAATTCAGCAGATTTCTTCCTCACAAAATCCAGAAACAGCTGTGTGAACCTCAAAGAACTGGAAACTTGGTGACTAAACCCAGGAACACTGAAGACTACTGGGAAGCTGATCCTTCTTTTGTTTCAGAAGGGAAGCAACATACAATGATAGACATATACTCTGACAACCTAAAGCTCGGAGACCAAATTTTCCCAAATGTTTCTCCTGTAAGAGGCAAATGATGTGTGAAAATATATGCAAGACATGAAAAAACAGCAAAAAATCCTGGGTGTATATATTTCTATATATGTATAACTGCATATAACATGTGTAAAAAGTGTAATTTTTGTTAGTCACATATCATGTATCTCAATTAAATTTTTAATTACCCCTGTGTTACCCCAACCGGGTTGCTAGGTTGGGCAGAATCTCGACTTCTCTTTTTTTTTTCTTTTCTAAGAAAACATGCACAGCATAACAATCCTGATTATTTGGAGAACAGTAACATTTTGTGTGACGTGATTAGCATTTATACTAACGTATTCAGAATGACGACAAAATGCCATTTGGCCTTGACACAAAGTGCACTAGAGCCCATGAGAAGACTAGTTTCTCACTAGACCAGACCTCCCTTGAAAAACTTTATGACATATTATGAACATGTAATTCCATTGCCTCTGAAATTACATGTGATGGGCAAAGTAAATAGGAATGGGGTTACTTCCCCACGAAAGTGATATATCGTTAGAAGTAATTTAGTGCCATATTCACTGTATGTCAGAAAGGGAGGGAAAGGAAAGGGGAAGGGAAAAGGAAAGGGAATTACTAGAATTAATTTCTCCCTCTTCACCTCCTTTTTTAAATAGACCAGGAAAAAGAAACAAAATCCAGAGGACAGGTTGGTGGGAAGGTGAGATGAAAAGAAATCAGGTGTGCAGTCTAGGGCAGAACAGATGCTGGCAAGCTGGGCTGCTAGCCTCATAAAAGATGCAGGAATAAGGATGGGGAAAGCTTTACATTTCTCAGCAGTCTTGGATTGTTGGTAAGACCTGAGGCATGGTCTCCACTTAAAAGGTTTTGCTGGCATAATTGTATCATTTAGAAGTGTGAAAAAAAATCCCACCCACATCACTACACCCTACTGTAAATGTAGGCCAAGCAGCAAAATAGCCCATTCAGAGACTGGGTTTACACTACACCAGTTAAATGGTTTTGCCAATAAAAGCTGTCTTTCTGCTGTGGGTGTGTGGGAAGGAGATAGTACCTTTTACAAATCTTTTCATGTCTAGGTGAACTCTGTAGAAAACTGGAAGCATCAGTAACTACTTCCTAATGGTAAATTGGGAATACTGGGCTATCTCTGACATGAAAAAGCCCAGCTGTTATCATGGCAGTTCTCAAGAGTCAGCAGTTAAAGTCCTTTCCTATGAGACTTTTGCCTACACTGCAAACAGATACATCCTCATTGGAAACAGATACATCCTCATACCCACTCATTGCCCCTTTCTCACAAGACTAATTATGTTTTGGTTTCCTCTTCTTAATTTAATCCTAAAATTCACTCCCTCCCAATATATCCCTCAGAAATCAGTCTGCTGCTTTCAAAGAAATCCCCCAAGGCCCAGTTTTCAGTGGGTGTGACCCATCTAACTTTCTTTGGCTGCCTTTGAGGCCGTCCCAACTCCAGTGCCTCCAAGCCCAGCAGAAGTCAGGAAATGAGAGCATATGGTAAATAGTTTAACTCACACTAGTTTGGCTTTCAATTCTAGCACGATTTTTCAGTGTTTTGCATCTAGTAAGATGTCTGTTAACTCAAAAGGTTCTGATTCAAGAGAATAAATGCAGTGGCAGCAGACAGATACCAGTGTACCAAAGCTTGTTACTACAGCAAGCTGGGTGTGCCATATCACATATATATGACACGTCTATGCAGTTTCGTGACAGATGAAACCCGAGCTCTGAAAAAATGATCTGTTAAGGTTTAAAGCTCAGTAAGTTTAAACCAAAACAAACACGATAACCAGTATTAGGTTTCTGAGCACATCCAGAGGACTTAGCTTGCCAGCAGTCATATATTTACAGACTGGCAAGCATATGCCCGATAATAGACAATGAATCCAATAATAGACAATAAAGCCTGTTGTAAAGCCACTTGTAACAGCAGCTGTTGCCTCTATCAAGAACATCTCTTCAAAAATGTTACCTGTCAATATTTCTTTTTTCTCTTACTCCCTCTTTTATGGGGCGAGGCTTCTCGCTATAAAAGAAATAAACATTAATTAGGGTGGGCTAATTCTCAAAAGGAACATAGCATAAATATCTTCCCCCTTCATTTACCTGATATTGACCACATACACAGTGTAGTTCCAGTTCTGGAAAGTACGGTTTAGCTGAAAAACAGGAAGACATTGATCACATGAATGGTGAGATGTTAATGTGGCTTTTTGTTGCTTAAGACAGAGTTAGAATTTCACCCTTCTCCCCCTTGAGAAATCCCCTTCAGCTTTTCAAAGCAAAGAGAACACTCTCCCATTTCAGTGAGGCGATTGTTATATTAGATGTATAACTGGTAGCGAGAGATGTGGGCTTTTTTACTGACAGAAGGAAATCTCTATAAGGTCACAGCACAGTGTGTAGGTGAGTGCACAGGATGCCGAACTTTTGCTTTTCTCCCTCTCTTCCTCATCTTAAATTCTCAGAAACACGTTGATTAGAAAAGACTTACTGACAAAACTACAGGGTCAATTTTCACCTAAAAGTCTACAGCCTTACAATGATCCTTTTTTTCAGACCTTCGTACTATTTATTCTGAGTGGGAAAAGGCTGTTCAGTTTTCCCCCTGGGAGACACTTTTGCATACTCTGCTGGGCCAAGTGACACCTTTCTAGATTCTTTGGCTCAGGCACCTACGTACTTTGCCTGGCTACTGCTGCTAAAAGAACAAGCTTGGCAGGTGTGGATGGCTCATTTCTGGTTGGTGGATGACTATAGGTGATTTCTCTTCCTCAGCTTCTGAAAGCCTCCAGGTTTATTAAAAGAAAAATAAAGAATAATTGCCATATATTTATGACATCATATTTTCATGTAAATAGTTGGTATAAAGACTACTTGCAGCTTGTGTGAGTGCCACTATGTGAACTTTCAAAAAGGACACAGAATATCTGTATTCAGACAGGGGAAACTTTCAGAACGCCAAGAATCCTCCATCCAGAGGGCCCAGAAAGGAGCTTATGTCTGCTAAAATGGGCTGAAAAACCAGGGCCTACTAGAAACCCCATCAACTGACCTATAGCAGAAGACTTCTGAAGTACAGAATATTAGGGTAAATTGGAAAAGTGTATTGCCTCACACAAACAAATACTGCCTGTTTTTTTTATTATTTCTATCACAATATAACTTCAAAACCACATTAGTATTTGGGGAGAATAATTTCGCTCTATATAGTGATGTTGGAACTTAGACTTCTACCTTTTTCAGTGGACAATTCTGATTTCTCCATACTTTCCAAAACCTCAACTAGTATCTATGTTTCTTAAGAAGCTGGTTGGTATAGTGGAGACATTTCAAAATGTTATCCATAGTGCCTGATAGCCCCAGCTAGACCTGAATTCATTACCATGCAACTCAATAATAGAAAGATCTCCAGAGAACACATATTAATTTAAGAATTTATTTGGTATTGTCTCTCTTTTTTCTTTTTCAGATTGATAACATCAGTGGGGCAGATACATATATGTAGTCACACAGGAAAGAAAACTTAACTTACCCATTCTGCAACCACATCACGTGCTCTTGTCTCTGAGTTGGAGTTGGAACTAAAGACAGTTATAGATATCCGGTAGAATAGCCCACCTGTCCATTAAAAACAGCATTTCAACATTAGAAAATGTGCAAATTTACCTTTTTAATAATGAGTTTCATGATGAATATGAAGATTGGGCTGAACGCCAGATACAAGGACACCTCAAGTTCTTGTTAGCATTATACAAGTTTGGAGTGAACAAGCACTGCAGACTTGGGCCCATTCTCACTAGTCCTGTCAAATTAGACAAGAATTCCCCCCCCTCCATATTTTTAGAGACATTTGAAATGTGATGTGGAAACTCACAAACAACAGACATATAAATAGTATTTTGCATATACCTTTAATGTGGTGTGTAAAAGCAAGATCATGAAAATGTCATGAATTTAAAAAATAATCATAATTACTGAAGTCTGTAGAATGGATAAATTCTGCTCTCAGTCATATTGTTATAAGCCAGAATTCAACCACTGCAGATTAGACTTAAAACCTTGTGGGAGCAGATAAGGCTTATCAATTGAAAGTAACAAAATAACTGAGGACTAACTGAGAATTAGGTGGAAGAAGGGTTATCCAGCTCTTTTTTTCACAGCACACTCTTTGCTCTCAGGCCTGGTGATGGCTAGATAGTAAAAGAACCCACATTAGCTTTACAAAACTGGCAGCTGAACAAACCATCTTTCAGTCACAAAATGTGTAACACTTGGCTTGGAGCAATTTTATATTCAGTAAAATTGTTTTGAAGTGGCACTGGGTAAATATAAATTCTCTTTAAGCTCATGAGTTGGTAGGCAGCATTGCAAGATTTCACATCTAATAAATAACATCAAATCATCTCATAGTTAGGCTCTGTGTTAAAAGTCTATACTTCTCACAAGTCAAATTTTTTTCATTAATCTACTAAAAATTCTGTAAGCTCTGGTCGGATAAAATTTCCCAGGATGTGGGGGAGGTTTAAGAGCTTCTGGATCCATTCACTTGCATGTATGCACACATGTGGTATTGCTTGGTTCAGGGCTGTTACCAAATGAAGTTGTGGGTCTTGATTAGATATGTGTATTTATATAAATCTTATGTAAATCTTACAGAGACACTACATAGGACAGAACAGGACATGACAACAATTATAGAGAAATCCCTTTCTGTCTCTTGATTGTAGAGGAACTGCTCTCTCTTTCTGAGTCTAAATAAAAGACCTTTAATTCTAGTTATGTACATGTGGAGCAAATTTCATCATTTTACAACTTCATAGAAAATAACAAGAGCTTGAAATAGAAGTATCTGGAAAAAAATTGAAGTCAGTATTTTCTGATTTAATTGTGCCTATTGGTTACTATACTATTCATGACCTGGCTTGAATATAGTTCTTTCCTCTCATTATGGAATTGATCATATGATCACTGAGATCAGTATGAAAATTCCTCTGCGATTAATATGAAAATTCCTCTGCGATAAAACACTAAAGAATCAATTTCTTGCAGGAAGATGGTTTACCAGTTGCCTTCCATGGTAAACCGTGATTAAATTTTAGATGTGAGTAGAATGAACTCGCTTGCTTTTTCATTTATTGTCTTTTCTTTTCCTCCCTTAACTCAGCAGACACACAAATTGGTGTGCAGTTTAATCTGAAAATGTATTTTAGTTTGTTATTACTACTGTGATAGTTTCAAATTAAAAAGAGGAAGAAAAGTCTTTGGAAGTAGAAAATTGGACTGCACAAGTTGGAAACACTTGCAAGACTTGTATCTCATTTATATGTATATATCTCTGTATATACATATATTCAATTTTATATGTATAACGTACCTTTTATATGTGCTATACAGATACGCACATACAGAAAGTGTGCATTGTATACATTCTCTCTCATTCATATATAATCATATACATAATTATAACCTTATTTATATAATTACATATATGGACAAAATAACTTTAATATAGGAATATGCAAAGTATTTTTAAAATCAAACTTACTAACTACAAACTAATCAACAGCTTCAAGATCTCCACCAGATGGTGACCCAAAGCATGTTTTAATGAGACAAAAAAAGAACATGAACAAAGAACTAATCTACATTTTTAAACACTCTCAGGAGACTGCAGTGGCAGATAATGAAAACTAAAAATGATTTCTCACTCTCCAAATTAAACAGTGGAAATCCCATGTCAAAATGCTGAATGAAAAAAAATATTTTTATGGGCAGAAAATTGCTGAAAGGTAGCCAAAGATAACTTGAAAAAAGAGGAAAAAAGAATCTGGAAAAACAGTTCTCCCCACACCCACCACCAACTACAAAAACATAACGATCAATGAAAAGCCAGGATTGGTTGTTTTTGTTTTGTTTTTTTTTTTAATTGTTAGGCAAATTAGCCAAAACTTTCTTTTGGAAAATCTTTGCTTTTTGAAAGTTAAATCCTCAAAAATGTATGAATACTGAAATGAAAAACATTCATACAATCTTAAACAATAAAATAGCATAAAAAAATATAGAATATCTGAAAACCTGATACATTATTCTCACAGTCTCATGAAAGCTGTCTTAAAGAATTACACAGAAGTTAGAAATCACACATTAATGACATTTACTATCACTAAGATACTACAAATTCCCTTCTACTATAATTAAATTACTATTCTAAAATCTTTTCATATGCTAAATGGATCTATATCTAAAGGATGAAAGTCATCTACTTCTATGTTCAGTCTACAAAATGAATATCTAATAGGTACGATGATCTGGTTTTGTTCTACATCTAACTTAATGGCTTGACATACTGTAGTTGACCTCAGGTCGACACAGGCAGCCCAGCTCAGTGAAGGAGGAACATAAACACAATAAAAAGACTGCAGGAGAGTTAGTAAGTTGATTCCGTTGTGGGTGAGAGGTGGTATTTTGGCTTGTCCCAGATGATAAATTGGCCAAGGAATGAACATGTGCTGAAACTGATGACTGATGGTACATTACAGAAGAAACTGGCATTTGGGACTGCATGAAAGAGTGATGGATTGCTGCACCATGTGTCATCAGAGTGCCATTCAAGATGGTCTCTTTGTGCTGAATAACTCCACTGTATGAAGATGGAAAAGGTATCTCATCATTCATTATTGCAGTTCTCGATGATTCCAGAATAGAAGAGTGATTTGCAAAACGCCCATAATCAGCATTTTCAAAATCCAAGGCATGAGTACTAATAATATTCAGAGAAGACATTCCTTCTCTGTGATTGCTAAAGGATCCATACACCTCCCCTTCCGAATCCCATTCAGAAAGCCTCAGTATGTTTGTCGATGTCAGAACAGCAGAATTCCCCATGTCTTCATTACCACCAATGATTTTTTGTTCTACTGCCCACAGAGAGTATCTCAGATTGTCCCCTGGATTTTCAATGGAGTTTTGTCCTACAACAGTTAGATGACTTCTCGATGCTGCTGTTGTTGGCAAGCTTAATTCTGCTACATCCCACTGAGGGATCAGGCTTGGAGAATTTGTATCAAGATGGTTCTGAAAACTTTGTGGGAGTGGAGGTGTCGAGTAGCTGTTAGGAGGTATGCTGGCTCTGGATTTTGAGTCTGAATGAAGAAGGTGCCTTAATTCCAAAGACAATGTCATTGGAAGGAAGTCAGAACTCATTGAACTGATGTTTTCTAAAAAAACACCTGCATCTATTTGAACTTTATTTCTTGCTTTATCAATAGTATTAGTTACAGCATCATTTGCTGAAAGACTTTGAGACTGCGGTGATCCATATATTCTTGTTCTGTTTACCAAACTCTTAACTGGTGTATTGATCAAGAAAGCTTGGCTATTCCTTGAACATGAAGGCTGGGTTCCTGAATGTGTTGGAAGGACAGAAACAAGCTGCTGTCTATTGATTAGGAAGGTCATGTTGGTTTGATCACTTACTATGTCAGTTCCAATTTGCATGTGCAAACTATCAAATATCATTAATTTTTCTGTCAAGTTTTCAAGTATCTTTTCAAAGGGACCTACCTGCACCTGTACAGAGGGTTGACTCAAAGGTACTTCCAGGGAAGGGAAAGGAAAATCAAAATAAAATTCACTGTTGGAAGACACAGTTAGGTTTGCAGTGTTCATTGTTGACTGCGACTGTAATATTGTCCTGCCATTACTTTTTGAAATTCTCTTTGAAAGGTCTGGAATAAATGAACTAAAGATTTGTGTTTCCAAAGCTGATGCATGACTAGAGAAGTTCATTTCTTCAGCCCTGTGACCTAATAATCTAATGGCCGATGTTTGTTCAGAGATACTGTCAGACTTAGCAGGTGAACTAATGGATGGCAATCTCTCTGTTGCAGAAGAAAGCAATTTACTAAATGAGAGCCACCAATTTTCTGATGGCTCCCCAGAAAACACTTGAGATGCTTCTTTCAAATGATAGGGAACAGTCCAGAAACTTGCTGTTAAAGAAGGGGAAATAGCTACATATTTTGTTGGAAAATCCAAGTAAGCTGAGTCCCAGGAGTTGCCAACTCTATTCACGTTTGCTGGCTCTAATATGGAAAAAGCTGATTCTTCATTTTGACTACTATCATGAAATGGGTCTAAAATTTTCTCCAGGACTCCATTTCTAAGGATCTCACTTGGCTTTTGAAAATATACTGAATGTTTTAAATAATGAGACCAGTAATTACTATTAGATACAAATATGTTATCACTTTCCAAATATATGTCAGTCAACGATTGGTGATAAACAGGCAGCGTCATTACAACATGCTTAAATGTTGAGCTTGTCCAGCCTGTTCCTACCAGAAGTGCTGAAAATGTTAGTAGTTCTCTACTGTGTCCTAGGACTGAATTTGTCAGTTGGATGTCAGGCATAAATTTTGTGTATGTTTTTTTCATGTTTTGAAAAAAAGTTGTTGGGTTTGCATGTGGAGTCTCCTCAGAGGTTAAATTTGTAATGCCTCCTAAATGATGTTCCTTAATGTGTGTAGATTTTCTAAACTGAAATTCACTGTTTGCTGCTAACACAGAAAAAGGTTTCCTGTCAGCATTGTCTTCTATCATTTCCAGGTAAAAATTTTCAGGTGCAAAGTCTATCAAATCTAGCCTACTTTTCTGGAATGACAATTTCTCCTCTGTAGGTGATATAGATAAGCTAGAAAGAGAATGATGTCTGTCTTCTTGAATGTCAGAGGTGACATGATGATGAAATACAGTCTCACTCCACCAACTCACAGGCTCCAAGATGTCACTTATATGCATGAAATTGGTTGTGCCACTTTTGGAGGATGAAATCCACACGGTTTCTTTTTTGTGTTCATAAGCAGTGCTGCTGCTGCTGCTAACAGGAGAGTGGAATGCTGACTCAGAGTCAGAATGGTCTAGTCCATCTGCCAAAGTCAGTGCTAGCTCTGCATTAGGACTTCTGTTTTGAAAAAGAACTGCTGCATTCACAGAAGGCTCTGTAACAGCATCTGTTGCATCAGAAGTGCCATGAAATGAACTTCTAGAATCATTCAAAATATTTTCATTTGGTAACAGATTCATCACAGTATTATCTACGTTGATTTTTTCTGTAAAAGCAACCAAGGTACTGTTGCTGGTCTCCTCAGAAGCAGCTGATGTGGACACAGTTGGAAGAAAAAAGCTGTACATGTTTTTTCTCTCTGGGTTCTCATCTGCTGAGTTTTTACTGAAATGGAGAGGCCTTTGTTTCACTGGCCAAATAATTGGGGTTGAGATAATTCCTATGGTTTTGACCCCTTCTATCTTAGACTCTTGTTGCCTCTGTGGTCGTGAATGGGAGGATTCAGGTGAATTTCTCTTCATTCTGAAGATAACTGCTGCAGGAACTCTGAATTCCTGCAGGTCTGTGTGTAGTAAGCCACATAGTTAACGGATTAAAGAAAATATATGCAACTTAACAGTCTGTTCTGGGCTGTCTGCCTTTGGTCTAAAAATCAACTTACCAAGAATGGAAAATGAAGCTAGTTAGCTGAGTGAAAGTTTAATTTGCTTCTGCTGTAAATTAATTTGGCTTATTTTTCTTAGTCTTTCTACTTTCTCTTGGGAGTTTCAGAGCCAAAGAAAGGACTTAATTGTCCAGGTTTTATTCAACTAACATTAATAAGGCATTCAGTTCCTTCTGTAGTTACAAAAATCAGAGTTAACTCTTCATGGTGAACATAGGGTGAGTGGCTCCACAAAAAGAAAAAAGCACAATTTGGAAGAAAATGTCAATATTTTCTTCTTACTTCTACAGCTTAGTAACTCCAAACAGGCTGAATTCAGATAAATTATTTCACATTGTCTACTCTACTGCCCGATTGCCAATGTACAAGAAATGATGTGCCAAGAGAAAAAATACTCCAAGAATACTAAATCCTACAGTAAAAGCTGATGCATTTGGGGAAAAAAAAAAAACCCAAACAAACCCACAAAAAACCCCCAGATTCTAATTTAATTCTGCGGAGCACACTGAAAAAATAAATCTTTACAAAAAATATCTTTAAGCCTCAGATGAAAATTGCAGAAATCTATCTCTGTGTTGTTAATAATGTTTAATAACTGTCTTTAATAAACTAATGAATATTTTAGCAGCACCTTACAAAATGATGTTCAGTCTCTGGGAGACAGTGATATCATAGAATTTGAGAAAACCACAAAAGAAATCCCTGCTTTTTTCCTGTGCTAATAATAGGCTCATTTACTACCTTATTTTTTCCCTTAATCTTTCTAAATGAAAAGTAAACGATATCTGATACTGTCAACATTTTCCCTAGTAAAGTCTGATCCAGCTCTTCTTGAAGTCAGTGGAAAGATTGCTGTTGACTCAGTGGAAGTGGCTTTGCTCCACAGGAATGATTCCACTTGGCTCCTGTGCCCAACTAGTGAGGAACAGAGAATCCCAGCATACTACCACCCTGGCTGCACAGGCGGGAGCTACACAATGCCTCACAATCTGCAACCTCAACACATTTCAATAGCATGGTTCTTTTCCAACCCTTTTTAAAAATCCTTCTCCCTTCCCTTGTTCTTTGCATGGGTAAACACAACAGGTGACACAAAGTGAGCCCCTTTTGTACAAGACCCAGGTAAACATGATACAAATAAACACCGAGTTTGGTTTTGTTCTCATTTACACCATTCTTGCATGGTCCAGTGAAGTTACTCCTGATTTATTTCAGCGTAAATGAGATCAGAACTGAGACAAGACCCTTGACATTATGACACTATGAAAAACACACCTTAAAATACGGTAAATTTGCTCTAGACACAGTACAAGGAAAAATGTAACACAGGATTTCTTACCATTGTTTGGCTTATCGTTTCTATTACTATCGGGCATGTTAGTGGTGACAGTGGGTGGTGTAGGAGTAGTAGCATTTACAGTAGCTGGTAATAAAGATGAGAAAGAGGTGAACTTGAATGAAATATGAATGTTAATAAGGTAAGACAAAATGGGAACAATGCATGACAATGTAAAATGAAAACCATCTACACACAATGCTATAAATGTTAAATAAACACATTATTTTTTCTGCACAAATTGATGAATGGATATGAACTGAGGCCTCAGTCCTGCAATCTTCACTTTCACTGCCTTCAGTGGGAGTTTTGCCAGTGTAAGGTTTGCAAGATCAGTCCTGTACTGCTTTCATAAACTCAAAATCCTCTTACAAGAGCTTCAGATCCAGACAGCTGTGCAAAGACCAGAAAATAGATCTTAAGTTGTAAGATGCATGCACTTAGAATATTGCTTGTGAATAGAATAATTGTCCCTACTCAGGGACTGAAGATGACAAAAAAATGCGAAAGTAAAACGCCCATGTAAGGATCCAGTTAACTTCACTGAACTCTATACAACGGAGAGAATTGAAATCATACTTGGAATAATTGAGGTGGAATATATATTTTGAAAGCTTCATGTAGGATCTCAGCTGTACTGTTCCCACTGACACTAACAGGAGTCACCCCACACAACACTGGCAAATGTTTCCCAGGAGAACCAGCTAGAACCCTTTACAAAATCAGAGTGAGGAGCCAAAGCTGCAAATTTCCCCCACAGCAGACTGGGAGAGTATACACGCTAGAGCAATTCAAAGATCATGCCACTAAATTTTCAAATAATAGTTTGGAAAAGAACTTAATTTTACCTAGTAACTCCCAAGGAATGCAAATCCACTCACTGACAGATTTCTTTTTTCCTGAAAACTCTTTTTAAAATCTGAAGGTTGGTACAGTATAATCTCACACTGTTACATGGCTTTTGCAGATTTTGACCAAGAACCAACATGGAAAGCTTAAGCAATTGTATTTTAGGCAAGAAACCGCACTTCTGATTTTTTGCGAGGTTGTTTTAGCTAATCTTTTGAGCCCGAAAGTCATAAACTCAGGTCTCGGCTTAGGAAGCAGGTTCGTGTTCAGGTTTCAGTGAAACAAGAAACTTAGGGAAAGGGAAGGAAGAGTTGGACACTTCAGCAAACAGGTTCTAACTGGGAAAGTGAGTATATAAAGTGACACCCTATAATACAAAAAAGCTCTCTTCCATGTAACTTCAGGGCTATATTGTCTCAGAAAGAAGTTACAAGGCTTCTTACTGATTGTATCTTCCAGCCTATGCTGTTAAAGGAGGCATCTTCCAGTGAATGAAAATATTTGCTAAAGGTAATTAGAGAAAATGGCTCTTTCATCAGACTGTAGGTCACATAATCTGACATCCACAAACTTTGTAACTGATGCTATTGCACAACACACAACAAACAAACAAAAAAGGAATCCCAACTGGCCTCTCAGTTTAAAGTAAGTCTGCAGTGCTGACAGAAATAGACAGACAGACATGATTTTCATTATTATGACAATAATGATGATGACGACGAACAGGGTAAATCTGATCTGACACTTCCAAAATGACAAATACAGAACACCAGTGACATTTTACCAAACGCTTTTCAGAGAAGGAAAGAGTATTACCTCCATGAAAGTACTCATAGTGTTTATTGAAGATGTGATGGTCTAAGAAGTTAAGAGAGGCAAGTTTGAAAGGTAGCATCTGTTATTAGAGGCAATATCTTCACCTAGACAAGTTAATAAAGCTGGAAAAAAGGATGAGGCTTTTAGAAATGCAGGCTTGTTTTGCTGAAAGCGTGTCCATTTCTGCAGCCATATTAGCTGACATAATGAAAGATATTCTCTCTCCTTTCACACTATGCCATTTTGATAGAGGAAAATGCTCAGAGTTCTTCCAAGAGAACACACAAAGTTCTTTATAAGGTGGTTGTATTACCCTTTACATATAAAAAGAGTAATACTGAATAACTGTTGCTGTCACACTTACCTAAGGTATTCCAGTAGCAGTATTTAGATCATATTGTGCTATGTGAATATGGTGCCTGAAAATTACTGTTTGAAATCTGATCATGGACATAACTGGTATTTCACTTTCCCTGTGGAGACCAGTATAATACGCTCCAAGAACCTGAACCAAATTTACCTCAACATAATCTGGGAGAAGTACACTGAAGACTGACATAGATCTCTTACTGACTTCCCAAGCAGAGTGCATTTTTCTTTATATTTTCAAGCTAAATCTGATTTACTTGTAAATGTCAGTTTTGAAAAAGTTCTGAGACTTCCTCCTGCCCTTTTATATTTTATTTTCTCCTGTCTCCTTCTTCCACCATTCAGACTGAAAAGGGTTACAGAGCTAGACGTTATTTTTGGTGCAGCTGCTGCTGTGATTAAAGTTTCACATAGCATGCCACCTCATTAGCAGGTCTGTGTTCATGAAGGTATTGTGGAAATGGGCTGATGTTGTTCATGTCGAGCGTTTTGATAGAACTTCAGCCTCTAAGCAGAGCAGAAAGCATTAATTGTCTTTGCATGTCCAATGATTCACATGGCATGGAAATGTTTAGGGTTCACCTATTCCTTGCATTCAACTGAGCTGACCTTTAAAGACACCTAATTAATTCTTACATGTGGTGATTTTTACACTATTAAACCATCACTAAGTGCTGTAACAAGTGTTTCATTAACTAATAGCTGCTGGATTTTGCAGTTTGGTGTTAAATTTTTAACCGCTAATCTCAAAGTATCTAGCCTCAAAACAGTTTATTGGAAAAAAATTAATAATAGTCAGGTCCTTTATTTACATCTGCTCATTTTTTTATTTACAGCTGTACCCACTTCTTATCCTAGTTAATATTTTACTGTCAAAATGTGCAGGAGGAAAAGAGATGGAGAAAGAAATGAAAGCAGTCAATTAATTCAGTTTTGATATAATGGAGACTATTTGGAAAATGTATTATCAAGGGAGCGATCACATTTTTTCCACATATTGTACGTACAGGACACCCACACGCTTGATGGGACTAAAGAATTCCTTTCTTTGCTATTTTTTATCGCAGTTCACCCTTTTAGAAACAATAATGAAAAAGAAATGGAATACAAAACCCAAGGAAAATAAAGATTTCCTAAAGATGAAACTGTGAAAATGACCTGGGCTTCTTACCTTGGCAAAGGCTTCCCAGGTTTGCACAACTGGTTGGTTCAATTGCAGAAGAGGGAATTAGGTACGAGCCTTTAGAAAAAGAAAGTAAAATAATTAGAAAAGTTTGGCTACTGGACATAAAACTACCAGGTCTCAAAATATATCTTGCAGTGATACAGTCCTCTTCCTATTTTCTCTCAATGGCAAAACTGATACTGCCATTTGCCTATAATACTTATATGCTTTCATTTTCTGTTGCAGCTGAGGGATCCATGAAAACCCCGCTGACTTGCAAGTTACAGTCACTTACATATCCTCCCCCAGTTTTCTTAGCTTTCACTAAATAACATCACATTAAATGAATGCAGCTTGTGTGGGGTCAGTATGGCCATAGGATTTATGCAATCTTCATGAGTAATAACACACGCCTTGGAGAAGCAACCATGCTCCGCTGCTGTAGAACAGGTTACCCACCACACACTTCTGAGTAATCTGCCTGTTACAGACACCAACCAGATAAAAGGTGATTAAACTTGTTCCTCTGCCCAGGGCGTGGACATGATTAATATTCTGGTATTCATGATTTATAAGCAGATAATGTTATAAGTCTGTATCTTATCTCTACTGAATTATTCATAACAACATGCACACACTTTGATGATCTGGAGACAAAAAAAAGGGCATATAAGAATGGCTACAGCAAAAGAACTGGTGAAACCGCATTAATTACACTTTGCATATGCCAGCGGTTCA